TTGTGCTAGACCCATCAAGGCCATTAAGTCGTTTCAATGGCGCGATTACGATTTTACTACGTGTACTGAGTTGATCTGCCGCCTTTGAATATCGCGTGTAATGAGGGCATTTACAATGGTTCCATCGAAAAGAGGCCGATGCAAATTAGTTACATCCAATGTTAAGCTTTCGAACAAGAATAATGGTGATCGAATGGGATGTTTGAATCGGTGAGATCTGTCACGTGCTCTTATATATGAGTCAAAAGGACCCATCTGAAAACCACACGCGTTTCAGTTTGAACGGAAACAACTAGACTGAAACGAATTGACTCAGCCACTAGGGTGTCGTCTACCTCTTTGTAACCGAAAAACTTGCAAAGCGGTACTCTGACATGGAAACCTAAATGGACACTAAGACGACTTTGGAAGGACGACATCAAAACGGGGACAAACCTAACCGTTATACCACAGGAGGGCTGAGTACGATTAAAACATGGGGTGCGGAATTGCTAGTGATGCAGCACACCTCGTGAACAACGGGTAACAATGAATCGAATGATCCTGATACCATTCCTGCTGTTTGCCGTTTGAGATGTTCGCAGCACTATGTCACAGAGTAATCATTATTGGCATAAAAAATCATTCCACAATAGCAGAATATCTTCGTGCTGCATGACATCTTTCTCTTGACTGATATCGCAATTTGACTAGCTGACGTATGAGCAGAAACCTTATACAATTATTGAATAAATGAGTCGAATTTCTTTCCCTTGGATCTGATAACTACTTACCTCATTATTGCATCCGCCAGGGCGCAGTTGCTCTGAAATGTCAGTTTCGGTACGCAGCATTGGTTAAGTATGCTCAGTGTTCAGTGGATCGCTGCTGGTGGGTTTATTGTTGTTGATCTAAGATAACTATGAATACAATTCTCGTAGTCTCTTTCTGTAATTTATTCTGCGTTTTCCTATTATCTTGGTTAATTGTTTTTCTTGTGCGAATGCTGAAAAACGCTCTTCTGCGATTCTGTTCCAGTAATAAACGTTGAAACAGGAATTACTGTGCCAATGGGACTTTAGGGAGCCAGGGGTTTTAAATCGTCGACATTTTTCACTAAGCCGTTCGCCTTCACTGAAGATGACAATTTTTGGTTCGTTTTGCTGATTTTATTATCATTTTTAGTCGTTGTGCAAAACCAGGGTTTGTCGTTATCTGGTGGGTCAAACATAGCCTCAAAATTAAAACCAAGAGAGATCATTCACACCTGTTTGATTGCCAAATCACCCAGAGAGGTATCATGCAAGGATGTTGCTCGATGATGTGTTTGTTGAGATCACTATCGTGTCGTTTGTATAAACAGAATATTTCTGCTCTGTGATTCCAACGGGCTGGTTACCGTATTCTAAGAAATATTCCACTCCGAAAGCCTCTATGTCTCTATTGCTTTAATTGATGTTGTATGTTGGCCTGCTGGTCAACGTCTGCCAGGTTTCGGCTTCCACATAAGTAGCTCAACCAGTTTGCATAACAGAGTCAACCACCTTTTCTTAATCTCCACATATACTGGTCACCGGTGCCCTTAAGAGAACAGAGCCATTCCTTACCTTGTCCTGTCAGGTGATACTTTTGAGCAGAGGATGGCAGTTTTATTTATATGCAAGCCTGCTCCTTAAGCGTTCATGATCTATGTGGGTTGATGCTACATTTGCAGCGGTCAAACCACTGTGGGGGAAAGACTTCTTTCTAGTGTTGGCTACAAGTCAGCAATTTATTACAGGAAGGGCCAAAAGTGCCACAAATCACGTATAAGCCGAGAAGTTAAAAAATTGGTTGTGCCAAATCACAAAATCACAAGGATAAGACAGCACCTGTGGTTCAGCTTCAATGTGAGCTGTGGAAAAAGCCATTTTGTAAAAGTGAACCCTAGTCTAGCTTAAAATCTTCGGTCAAATTTCAAAGGCATATTTTAGGCGTAGACTTTGATATGCAGGAACGTGAACAGTAATGTGATTAGTAAATATGAGAGCGTTGAATAAAGAAAATGCCGCTCGCCTTGTAAATCGTCCTATTAATTCATCACTTGACCGGAAGCAGTGTGTTCCGTGTGCAGAGAGCAGGCGGTGGTCGCAAGCACCTCAGCAGTAATGTACGGCGTTTGGGTTGTCGCAGACACCGTCACCCGGCCGACTGTATCGATGGCTCAGCCGGTCGAAGAAACGAACCAGCAGCTTCGGTCTACGGAACGGCCAGCTCATATCGCGAGGTAGCTGGCCGCTAGGTACCTGCAGTTCAAAGAACAGAAATACGATGTACAGGGGCCGCATGATTCGCAGGTTCTTGCGCTCCGGTAATTCTCGTTTGCAATATGTCCAGTGGTGGTAGCCGTAGAAGATGACGAATGTAACGAAAATAGCAATCACCACGTCGATTGTGTAGTGCTGCCTGGAAATGACTACAGCAATGAGGCCAAAAACGACGGCCACGGTCATTCCGACCGGGACGTACGGTCTGAGCGGCTGTGGGCAGTAGTACCAAGCGTTCAGACAGACCATACAGTAGACCATCGTATGACCGCTGTAAATCGTGTCTCCGCAGAGGATGCGGCTACAGTCGCTGCTGATGCCGACGGTCACCACCAGGCTGAAGGCACGACGGATGTATTCCAGAGGCTGCTCAGAAATAACGATCGGGGGCAAGCATCGGTCAACGGCATCCGGGAACGGAGGCGGCAAGTACGTGCACAGGAGGAATAGCGCCCTCAACAGGTACAGTACAGAGACGAGGAGTGCGAAACGGCGGAGAACGATCGACCAATGGGCGTGGAACAAGATCAGCAGGAAGGCAACGGCGCTACACACGGCAACCAGCACGTCGGCGACGGTCCACGCCCACAGCTGCTGAGGCACCAGGTCGAAGACGAGATCGTTCAACGGCGAGGTGTCGTTAAGGTTCGCGGTGGCCACTTGGTGAATGTGGGCGACGACCAGTCCGTTACTGATCACGGACACGATCAGTAGCACGATGGCGATGGCCGTTTTGCCGGGCTCGGCCGGGTAGGCCGTTGGCCGCAGGGGGGTACTCTCGTCCAGAGGGGAATCCGTGCGTAAGTAGTCTTCCTGCTCGTCGGACGGCAAAGACTTTGGCCCTGGCAACGCCGTCACTTTATAGTCGACCATGGCGGCGGCGACGGCAGCGGCGACGACGACGGCACTGTGCAATGTCGGCGTCGGCGTCGTGGTGGTAGGTGGTGCTGTGACATCGTCGTCGATCCACCGTTACGCGTCCATCGATACCGTAAGCTGTGTCAAGGTGGATATTCCTGGTTGGTCTGCAAACAAACAGCAACTAGAAACACCGATCGAGCTAGCAAATCCAATCCAGCTAACATGCAACAAAACCTGATCTTCGTTTATCTGCCGCACATCAGCTACTTAATCCCCTACATCCTTACGCATTGGAGCCGAAGCTGGCACTGTGTGAAGATCCGTCGCCACGCCGCAACACATGAGTCACATCTGAAATATGATTACACGCGTTTAATCACGACAACTTCGACGTCGACCGGCCGTCCGTCAACCTAAAACTTCACAACAGCGGCACTGGCGAAACTTCAGCATCTTATGATGTGGGCAGATCGATTGTTTAATCCAAAAAACCGTTCGTCGGTTTTTGGTTGGCGAAGCGATGATCGTCAAGGGTAGAGTAAGGACAATACAGCACGATAACAAGTTCGGATGGTGGATCTCGACATTCCGTTCATTTGTACTTGTTTGATCGAGTGAGGTGACGACAGCGGACGCAACAGCCGTCAGTGTCTGCCTAACTTTGATCGCATTCGCGGATGATATCGTACTGTTAGCAGACATCTTTCAAGCTGTGACGTCACCACTCCTAACTCTGAAAGCCAGGTGTTCTCATCAAGGAACTGAAAGAAAACTGAGTGAAGTCAAATCTCTTGAAGACCAAGTGGCCGGAGGAATAGAGGCAACGTTCGGTGTACAAGCCCCCCCCCTCTTGCGGTTCAGTGTACATCGGCGAAACTGGCAACACCCTTGAGGAAAGGAAGACCGAGCAGCAACGAAGCTAGCTTCATTAGGTAGAAGAGCGCCCGTGCCAGAGAATGAGGCTTCAAGCAAGTATGCAAAGGATGGACGACAGCGAAGGATGTCACGATTGTCACTGACGAATTTTAAACAAACTCAGCTATAGTAGAACATGCGGTATGAGGTCATTAAATCATTAGGTCATGCGGTATGAGGTCATTTACGGTATGAAGTTAGCAAATTGACAAAAAATTGAATTCATTTCGTAGGTAGGTTGTTATCTGCATCAATTACTGATTTATACCCTAATGTTAACTATCACTGGCTGATGAATTTGATAAAAACTATACATTAGTGTAATTCACGTCAGTGAATTCGCATCAGTGCTACATAGAACTGATAGACTATTTTCGAACAATTACCTAGTGGCGAAAATCCAGACAAGAAGCGAAAAGACTGGAAAGGTTTGCACTTAATACTAGGAGGAAAATGTGCTCCATGAATGATCCAGTTTCGTAACAAAATTCTAATTTATTCTCCGCAATTCACATATACAGCAGAGAAACTGTAATGTTTTCTTTGCACTTCAACGCGGACGATTGCTTTTATCATGGAGTATTCAAAGATAAGCAGGGCAACAAAATTTTAACGTACACAAACACTTTACACTGAAACTGGTTCCAAAATTTTACAACTCACGTTGAACCAATAATTTACACTGAATGAAATCCTACATCGCTGTGTATCAATCAAAATATGTAATTGGAATTGTTGACAGCAAGTAATATCAAAACAGGGAATGATGCAAAAGGGCAAGACTAGCGAAAACAATGGTGTCTGAAAAAATGCTTGTAATTAATCATGAAACAGTCCGCAGATGAGGAAGTAAAGGGCAGCCAGAACCAATATGTCTCTTGCGCGTGGGTCCCAATCACAGCTGCCATCGTTAGCCACGACTGAGCATAGAAATTTGAAATCATCCACTGCTTCCACGGTCGAGCAATTGCATTTGACCCACAAGGCATCCATCGTAGCTGGCACTCTCATAACCTCTGTCTTGGCTGCATTCACTGGTCGCTTCATATTGGCTACCTTTTCGCGCACACAGCAAGTAAGGCCTCGCAGACCACTTCCGGTGTCGCTCGGCAGGACGGAACTTTTCCGCATCACGGACTGAACCATGACAATGAACAGCAGCGGTGAGGCTCTTCATCTTAATGGAATCCATTTGAAATTTTGAACCAGTGCCACAGGTTGTCTTTAATTCTGACTGCACAATATGTTCCTTTGTACAATCCTTCCATAAGACTGATGATTTTTCCTGAGAAGTCGTAGTGTCCAAGGATTCAGCACAACATGAGGCGGTTGAATGAATCAATCACGGTGCTGATATCCAGGAAAGTCAGATGCCATGGGAGCTGCAGCTTCCGGCATTTCTGAATCATTTGCGAAGCACAAAGATGTCATCCGTGTTCGAGTGCCCATTACGGAACCCTGTTCGGTTTGTTCTTAATGACTTCCCCACCCCATTCATTGGTCTGTTGAGAAAATACCCTCTAAAGAACAGAGAGCAGGGTGACACCTCGAGAGTTCGTGCAGTCGGAATAATTATCTCATTTGAAAATGATGATTGCTCCCACTTCGTCCAGTCTTCGAGAATCGCACCTGTTTGGCAGATCTTTTCGCTGACATTATGTACATGGACGATCAAGTCCCGCATGCCGGAGAGACCGAACTTTGGCACAGATTCGGTTTTAATATATTATCATTAAACCGACATCAGTAGCTGTTCCTCTTCTCCGTCTCTTGCATACATAAGTGTATATAATGGATTCAATGCAGGCTGTCGCTTACGCGGAATGGTGGCAAAAATCGCACATCTGACTGAATCTGAAAGTTACACCGATCTGAGTGTGCTGGGCTAATCCTGACTACAAACAGACATTCTGGGTTTACTAGCATTTTGGCAGTACACCCAAAATACCAGGGCTATTTTCATATATGAAAAAATTAATTGCAAGGAAACATTAACTGGGTTCAGACCACATTCGATCTTATCAGAAAAAGCCGAAGTACTTTCAGCGCATAACAAAATGCTGGATGAAAGTTATTAACGAATTTACGATTTTAGTTTTAAAATTAATTACAGACTGCTGTTTCTTTGACCGTCTTGAAACTAAGCAAACTATGAACATTAGAATTATTTATAATAATTACGACTGACTTGGTTTAGATCAAAGTACAGCATAGGATGATACGTTCGAAACTGAACGATTGTCACTAGAAATACCGGAAGTATGACCTGAGGCTATAACGTCAGCGTATTCCAACGTAAACATAGATGATTGAACGATTTAATCAGGCTAACGATGTGTGGGCCAATTGCCTGGCGAGGGAAAGCGCAGACAAATCGACCATCTATTACTTCCTATTAACGTCAAGGCAATAACTTGTGTTGTATGATTCGACTTATTTACAACATCTGCAGTATTCTGCTCAAACGACGTCCCATTAAACAGAAGTTTACAATATTCTGACACATGATAAGAACACATATTAGTTTGGATCAATAACCGAAACTTTCGAGGCGACCTCTAAACAAGCGGTGCAAGCGAAAGGGGACAAATTCGACTAGAACAGAGACGCTTAATGATATTAAAACTGATCAAAATGGCGAAGATGCAGAAGGAGACGAGGGGAATTATTAGAACGAAATAAAATGATAGGAAAAAGAAGAAAAGAAGAGGAAAGCATAGAAGAAGAAAAAGCGGAACATGTAACATGAGGGAGAAATCCGGAAACGATAAGAAGACGAGGGTGTAAAAGCAAAACTGAAAGAAGAAAAGAGGAGAAGAAGAATAAGGGAGGAGGATGAAACTAAAAGAGATTGAAAACACAGGGGAAAGAGTAGAAGTATGAAGAAAAATAAAGCAATATGAAGAGCAATGAAAAAAAGATGAAAAGAGATAAAACAATAAAGAAAGAATAACAACAGGATCAAGAAAATTCGAGGAACTGTCAGAGGGTAAACAAGAATAAAACGAAGGATATGAACACGTCGAGGAATTAAAAGAAATAATAGAACGTGGAGAAGAATAAGAAGTAAAATAACGAGCGGAATAACAGGAGGAACAAGAATAAGAGAGAGCAGTTAATTAAAAATAAGAGAAAAACTGAGGAAGCAAATGAATAAAAAAGAAACAAAACTAATTGCTGAAGGAAAATGAGAAACAACAGGAATAAGCGGAAGAAAATGAAGAGGAAGATGACCAAGGAGAGATGAAGAAAGTATTGACATAAAACGAAACTGTAAGTAATGCGACAATGACGTACTGTGTTGAATTTCGTGAAAAGGTGTGTTAGCTTCAACATAAGAACGTGATCATGGCGTATTCTGAAACGTCGAGCATCGTCCGGGGCTCAGTGAAATGGCGATACGCGCCTTAATAATCTACGCGTACCTGCCTCTGTCCTCTCTCCTGGAGGTGCTGGAGCTACGGGAAGCAGATTATGGGCAGACGTAGAGAGACGTAGTTCGAATGTGAGGGTGACTGCTCGATGACAATAACTTGGTCGTAAATTGACTCCAAGTTTTTCTGCTGTTTTCCCCACTCATCTTAGAAGGTCGTCATGTCTTATGACCTCCTGTTCGACGGAATGCTCGTTGACAAGGAATCGACAGAAAACCTTCACCATCATCTCTCGTCATCTCAATCACACACCATCGCTGATTCCCACTTGAAAATGGATATACTTCCGTGCGTCAGTGTACCGCAATTGTCCAATTTCTGATTTTGCTGTAGGAAATTATACCAACTTAAAATGGGTTACCAGTAGAATGTATTGTATCAAAATCTGCATTATGCCCTTTACCAGGACAGCTTGACATCCGCATATGAATACGAGCTTTGTGGCACTGAACACACGAACTGTTGCGAATGACAAAAAGTATATTCCTCCGAAACCGGCCAACCTCTCTACAACAAACGGGTCGAAACGTTGGTAGTAATCAGTTATACGATTGATTAAATTATTGACGTTGTGTACAAATATTACCATATGTTATACTGTTCATAGCATGGCTACCAATGTACAAATAAAATGCTCATTCTTTGACCACTGGTGTTAGACTACTGTTAGGGATTAATGAAGATTACGAAGATATGGTCGAAGAGATTTATTTTTTCGACGCATCCCAGGAACATTCCTGAAAGTGAGCCCGATCAAATAAGTCCCAATCCGTAATAATTTTAATAAGGATGCAAAACATGGCGTCTAAGGAATGAACCAGCAATGGCTTCATACGATGCTTACTTTCACCACGGCATAATTAAGTCTTGATCTATCCTTGACGGATCACCTAAGCTTGATGTCGACGCAAACAGACCTCTGCCAACTTAGATTTGCCATCACAAACCATGACAGCTCTGTGCTTCATATCATTTGACCTCTGCATCAACGCGGGTATCAACTCGTCTTTCAAAAATCTTTTATCTGTCAATCGTGTCGTGTTATCTGTCCATCATTCTCACACTACAACCTTTATTCCTCATTACTTGTTAACTCCGCAGCTGTCCCGTATGAAAACTCCTAGTACTCTTTTCTAGTAGGTCGTTGCCGCATTTTTAACCCCTTCTCTTTAAGGGAACATCTCTCAATGACACAACTTCCGACAAAATAACTTTTGTGCAAAACTTTTCTCTCGCTATTGCTAGGCAATTGCTGCCATCCATATGTCAATATGAATTTTTTGCCCTCCACATCGAACGACACCTCATCACAAAATCTGGACCAAAACACTGGCCAATAACGGGCAGTTGGCAAAAGTGCACATATCTTGACTTTCGCAATGAATCAGGTATCACTGATGCATATTAACTGGCGACTGATCATTTGTCAGCGGTGTTGACTTAATTCCTTTTTTCATCGCCTTCGTTTTCGCTATGTTTAACCGATAATGGCATACATTATAGAGTACAATACTCTAGGATTAACCATTCTCAGGTTCAAACAATAAATTCACAGCAACGTGCTATAAATAACAGTGCAAAGCAGGTTATATGCTATTACTGTAGGCTACTGTAAACATTTTAACGGTACCATCATAAAATTAGGAAACTGTCATGAACATATCCAGACTGTTTAGCTTATGGAACAGAAAAAATAGAAACAAAATGCTGATGCTCATCAAAGGCCATGGCATGATGAGCCGGCGAAATAAACTTAACTAGCTGAATGCCTCACACTTCCGCTATATGGCGCTGAACGTTTGAGAGAAACTCCGGAATTCAACGTTTATTGGTTCGTGTTCCTCGCCAGCCTCAGAAAA